GTAAGAGCATCACGTGCTTTTAACCATGGAGCCATCTCTCCAGTCCCTAGAATAAGTATTTTTTATCTTATCAAAGTATAATAAAGTTGAACATCTGTTATCAAAAAATTCAAAAGCTGAAATGTTTTGAGCACCATCATGACATCCAAAGTGGAAAATTCCACACCTGACCTCTTATGATAAGTCATAGCAAACACACACACACACACACACACACACACACACACACACACACACACACACACGTACACAACACATACACACATGTACACACACATACACACATGTACACACAGCTCCAGGCTAAGTGTACAAAATGTAGATGAAATAGATAATGCCTGTGTTTAGCCTTGGGTTGTATCCCCAAGATGCCTCACTATAGTCTTATGCAAATATTCTAAAATATGAAGAAGTCTGAAACCGTCTGGCCTCAAGCATTCTGGGTAAGGAATGATCAACTTTATTAAAATTGGATGCCAGAATTTTCCAGAGCAGAGATTCTCAACCTTCCTAATGCTTCGACCCTTTAATACAGTTCCTCATGTTGTGGTGACCCCCAACCATAAAATTATTTTTGTTACTAATTCATAACTGGAATTTTGCTATTCTTGTGAATCATAATGTAAGTATCTGAGTTTTCTGGTGGTCTTTTTTGGGTTGCAACACACAGGTTGAGAACCTCTGTTCCAGAACAATGTGTCTCAGGTCTTTGTGGTGCCAGCAGCCACTTCTCAGAGTTCATATGTTTCCTTCCCAGAGTTCACACACTCCCTGTTTCCCACATGTGCTGTTAACACACCATTTTGTCTTCCTGTCTTGAACCCTCACCCATCCTTCACCTCCCACATCCTTCACCTCACCCCTCCTCACCTCACCCATCCTTCACCTCACCCCTCCTCACCTCACCCCTCCCTCACCTCACCCATCCCTCACCTCACCCCTCCTCACCTCACCCATCCTTCACCTCCCACATCCTTCACCTCACCCCTCTTCACCTCACCCATCCTTCACCTCACCCCTCCTCACCTCACCCCTCCCTCACCTCACCCATCCCTCACCTCACCCCTCCTCACCTCATCCATTCTCCACCTCAACCATCCATCCTTCACTTCACCCCATTGTTAACCTTAACCAGTCCAGAGAACTAACTCATAACAATTTCTTAAAGCTTTGGTTGGTTTGATAATGCTGTTACTCAGCTTTTTGTGGTAAAGGGTTGTTTCACCAACAGCAGATTCCTCCCTTCTTTTGGCACTGCACAAACAAGCTTCCTTACCCTGCAGCCCCAACGTCCCTGTGATCCCAAGCCTCAGCTGTTCTCCCTCCCACTGCCACTCTGTTTTCTTTTCTTTCGAGCTCAGGTTTAATCTGTTTTAAGGTGTGAACTGAGTTTCTTCTATTTTGGGGCTGCCTAGGTTTTAGGACTCCTGGACATGTGTCTGCAGGTCTGTGTCCAGGTGGGACATTTCCCACCTTCGTCTTCACAGACCTCCCTGCTGCTCCGTGTAGCTCCTGCTCCCATAGTCCAAACACACGCCTGCCAGAACTTTCTCTGCGTAGACCATCATGCTTTAGTCTGAATAACTGCTTTGGGAATTCTCTTCATCTGTGTCTAATTTCCATTGATAACAATATCTATCCACAAAAATTTGGTTTTGCTTATCATATTTTTCAATTCCAAATTCTTCCAGTCTTGTCAAAAGCTCTTATTCAGTTTTGTGAACACATTCAGCACAGTCCCATTTTTGCAGCTCTCTGGTCTATGATTTGTTGCTTTCCTGGATTTTCACTAATTTTGTCTTCTTCCATTTCATATGTTTGGTTATTTTCACTTGAGTGCTAGACATTGTATATGGCAGGAGATTTGATTTAAAGCTTGAACCAAAATCTTCCCTAGAGGAGCCCTGCCTTTGCTGTGGCAGGCAGACGGGAACACCAGGAACTGGGGTCACCTTGATCCACTGCTAGAGTGACAGTGTGCTGAAGAGTGAATCAGTATTTCCATTCCTGTAAGGGAGTACCGACGGATACCAGGATCCCACAGTTCTTCCCTGGGCTCCACACCTCCTTCTTCCCCAGCCCCTGGGCTCTGCCCTGGGATGAAGAGCAGTGACGGTGCTGAGCACAGGACCGTGAGGGCTGGGATGTAGCATCAACAGTGCAACAGGCTACTCAGTGTGACCTCCTTAGCTCACAGAACCTCATGGTGCACTCTCCTTAGCTCACAGAACAGGATATGGATGGCATCACTGCTCTCTATTCCAGGATAATCAACCCTGAAATTCCCCAACCCCCCAGTAGCAAACTGGAGAATCTTAGCTTTTCCTCTGCCAGGCTCAGCTGAACCTAGAGAGTCATCATTTATTCCCACCCAGAGGACCAGTTCTCCCCCATGAAAGAGGCTGGGTGACACCGCTCATCTTTACTATCTGTGATGTAGAGACAATGGCGCCTTCTATCCTTGGGATGACAAACTGAGATTTAGTTGGGTTCACACCACTGGAGTGGGGTCTGAGTGGAACTCTAGAGTCAGGACAGGGCCGTTGGCAGTAAGAGAGACGTGAAACTCAGTGGAAGACTGGAATACTGGAGAGGCTGCTGTCACCTGAAGTCATGGGTCAGGGATGATTGGGCTCACAGGCCCTCTGAGCCTGGGACACGAGTATTTTGTCCCTTATGGTGTTTGTTGGTCCCTTTCTAGGCTATCTTCTGAGGTGTGGAGTGCTAGAAGCCGCTAACTGCAGCAATGCATCTGAGCTTGCTTCAGTGACGAGCCTAACGAAAGACATTGATCTATTCTCAGTCAATAATTTTACCCCAAGCCTCTGACGGGCTGTAAGGAGCCTGAGTTTTGATCACCAGGTCCAGAGTTTCTGCATCACAATCCAGAGCCTGGAGCTGCTTGACTCAGGAAGTCACAGCTGTGATGATTAACATCGATTGCCAGTTTGATACGATGGAGAATCCCTGAGAGGACAAGCCTCTGCGCATGTCTGTGAGCAAGTCTCCAGATTATGTTAGCTGAGATGGGAAGATCCACCCCAACAGTGGCAGCACCACCCCGTGGCTGGGGTCCTCGGCTGAACAACAAGGAGAAAGGGAGCTGAGGACCACTGTTCACCTCCTTCTGCTTCGCAAGTGTGGATGCAATGTGCCCGGCAGCCTTGCCTTCCTGCTACCACGGCTTCCCCTCCATAACGGACTGTGCCTTCCTGAACTGTGAGCCACAGACTCATCTTCACTCGGCTTGCTTCTTGTCAGGCATTTCACACGGCAGCAGCAAGAGGAGTAACTAGCACTGAGGGGAAATAGCCTGGCGAAGAGTGTCGTGCATGACGAGCACACAGGGAAGTGCGAGCAGCCACACCGGCCTGTCTTGGAGTCTTCAGCATCCATAGGCAGGGGAAGGGTGTGTGTGTGTGTGTGTGTGTGTGTGTGTGTGTGTGTGTACTAGTAATATGTTAAGATGCTTGATTCCCGTACCCAGAAAATGCTCTCATGACCTGCTTTTCCACACCATGGTGGGGAAGAATATCCTCCTAAGTTTCTGCTCCTACTTGGATTCAAGAAAAAAAGATCAAAACCCAAAGTGGATTCCTTGGCACACCTGCCCTGCAAGCTGTTTCACAAAGGGTTCCTTGGTCAGATAGGTTTTTGGAAATGTGCAGATTTTCTCCCTCTAAGAGGCTTTCAAAGGTGCATTCAGTTATGTAAGATTCCGGGTAAACCCATATAAAAGAATGTGGTTACCTTTGTTCAACTAACTTCAGGTCTTGTGGGCATTTCCTGGGGGAGCCCCCTTGCAGCTGCCTGAGACTGCTCTATGCTGCACTGTGATTATGGAAGCACACGGAGTTCGAGGGACCTGTCATGCTCTCCTCTAAGCACGCTGGTTTTCTCAGTGTCTCCCTATTGCAGGCCCCCAGGCTGCAAGCTGCCGAGGACAATTTTAAGAGCCATGCTAGCCCCAGTTCTGATGCCTGGAGGCTGGTACGGCTACCTAGGCTTCCCAGCACAAGCAAGAATGGAACAGAGAGGATGTCACGGAGGCTGCGTGGAGTCTGGTCAGAGTGCTGGACAGTGCAGAAGAGTGATCTCGGGACCAGGACAGGGGAGGTGCCCTCACCCCCTTTATTTTCCGGGGACACAGCTGGGGGCTGAGAGGGAGCACAGACTGCAGACACCACAGGAGAACTCACGTCTCTTCATTTTCCTGACCCTCCATGACTGACCTTCACCCCTCCCTCTCCCTCCCTCCCTCTTCCCTTTTGCCTCTCTCTAGTCCTCTCTCCTTTCCTGCCTCCACCTCTTTCTCTCTATCTCTTCATCCCTCCATCTTCTATCACCCCTCCCCTCCTCACTTATCACCCCTCCCCTCCTCACTTATCACCCCTCCCCTCCTCACTTATCACCCCTCCCCTCCTCACTTATCACCCCTCCCCTCCCCATTTATCAACCCTCTCTGCTGTCCCCTCTCTGTCTCTCATTCTCCTCACCTTTCTCCCCATCCCTCGCATCTCTCTCTTCCTGTCTGTTCTCTCTCCTTTTGGCTCTCCCTCCATGTCTCCGTAGCTCTGAACTAACTTACCCTGGTTTTCCCAGCCTTGTGGTTCATCTGCTTTACCTGCCAGCTCTCCTGACCTTGAAAGCTACTAGTAGGCTCAACACTCAGAGCCCAGGCTACACACAGAATTTGTGGTTTGTAGAACAGGATGGAAGTGTGGGTAACTCATTCAAAACACAACAAAGAAGGCAGTTTAGTAGACTAAGCTCAGGGCCCGGTGTGCTTGTCACATGTCCTACCCATGAGAGCAACTCTATCACCTCAGAATGAATGGTGTGGAGGCTAGGGGTGATGCTGTGCCTTTGATGGGCACAGACAAAGATCTGTCAACCTTCATTTTCTAGGAGTCAGGGAAAGGCTCTGCTGGGGACCGCCCAGAGTAGGGGACACTTTGGCTCTGGACTCAGACCTTCCTGCTTGTGCTGTCTCATCTTACCTTGTGTTCAGAGTGTGGGGATGAAGTCTGAGCTACCAGCAGCCGCACCATGGCATCCCATTGCTCAGCAGTCTGGTGTTCCCGTGCAGTCACAGTAAAGGCCACCTGCTCTGAGGGGATCTTCAGCTCCCGGGTGGCGAAGACTGTCCCATCTGCCCCGACTTTGAAGTCCAAACTGTTGGTCTCATACTGCGTCCCTTTGGTGCCCAAGCAGCTGCTGAACTTGACTGTAAGAGGAGAGAAGATGGTCAGGTGGCCAGCAGGTGAAAGGCTGCAGTGGCAGGTACAGCATCTGGGCCCCAAGTAGCCCTCAGACAGCAGAGACCTCACTGGGGTCGCCTTTGTCTTCCAGGAGAAGTAGCTGGAGGCCAAGAAAAAGGATGGATGAGCATCAACCCTCCAAACCCAGGTGGACAACCTCCACTCCGGACAGTTTCTGCCCCATGCAGAGCTTGTGTGGCTCAGTGGAAGCAGGAACCTCTACCCACTGGAAGACTTTCACATTCCCACCTCTTGCCTCACACCAGCCTCTGCCTGTCAGTGTAGACGCCCAGTCCTTTGGATCTGTTTTTTTGTGCCCAAGGGAGTTGAGTGCAATGAAGGAACCAGAGAAAGTTGGCACGTCAAGACTCTCCCCCTCCACATTAGAACATTCTGGAAATGGGATTTGCATGGCTGGCCCTTCCATGGCTTAGTGAGATCTGACACTTGTCAGACACCTGGGTCCTGCTGGGGCAGAGGCAGGATGACAGGCCTGGCTCAGCCATAGACTTTCTTGGTTAGTGACAGAGTTAACAAAGCCTATGACACTGCTGGGTATCCTGCATCATTTTGCTTCCAAAACATCAATTAGGCAACGAAATTGTTGGCCCCTCCTGATGTACCAGCGCTTCAGCCATTTCCAGCTCCACCACAGAAAGAGACATCGCCAAGACTACATATTCATCTGGCCCACGGAGGTGCATTTTTTAGACACACGCTTTTGTGACTGTCACCCAACTCGGTGGTAAATTATGAAGCACCAACAGCTGGTGTCACATTCTGCTGATAAAAGCAATGGATAAAGTTACCCAGTATTTATAAAAATGTGGGTATCTAAGCAATTATGGTGGGAGGATTGGTTTTATAAGCAATTTCACTGTCACAGCTTACATGATTTAATTACTATTTATTCTAGAAACTAAAAAAAGCGACTTGCACTTACATTTGATAAAGTGTTTTTCCTGCATGTTCACCTTTTATTGCTGCCTGCCTTGGAATAACAAATAACATGTGGGTTCCCTTGTCTGGAATCATTCACTAGAGATGTCTCCCCAGTTGCTGGTTCCTCCTGCTTATGGGTTTAATATGAATGTGTCTTTATTTTATTATTATTATTTGAGACAAGTTTTCTCTATGTAGCCCTGGCTGTCCTGGAACTCTCTTTGTAAACTAGGCTGGCCTTGAATTCAGAGATATGCTTGCCTCTGCCTCCTCAGTGCTGGGATTAAAGATGTGCACCACTATGCCTGGCTTGAAAGTGTTTTTAAATCTAATAAGACCAGGCACTTACGCTCTGTCAGTGACAGAGTCATCAGGGTAGAGAACCTGGCTGTGTCTTCTGAGGGTCAGGGTGCCTTTCTGTGGCTAAGTATCCTTGAAGCTGGAGCTAGGTGTCTGTATCAGAGGCTAAGCCACAGGCATTCATTCTCTCACATTTTTCTCTGTCAAAGGGCCTGGATCCTCAAATAACTTGATGTCATTATAACTTCACTTGTACTGTGGGTTTGACTCTGCTCTCTGACAGAGCAGAAGTGTCTGGTCTCATTATATTTAGAAACACTTTCAAGCCTGGCACAGTGGCTCAGTTTCTAATGCCAGTGCTTGGAAGGCAGAGACAGGCAGACCTCTGAGTTTGAGGCCAGCCTGGTCTACAGAGTGAGTTCCAGGACTACTCTAGAATGGAGTCCACTATGATTTGGGAGAGGTAAGGGTCACTCTTACTCCATGAGTACGCTACCCAACTCATTACTTAAAACGTAAACCCCACAATGCAGGGCCGGCTGGTGAGATGGCTCACTGATGAAGGCACCTGCCGTGAAGCCCGATGACTTGAGTTTGATCCCTGGGATCCCTGGGTCAGAAGAACGTAACCGACTCCCACAAGCTGTCTCCTGACTGCCACATGAACACTGTGGCATGTGCTGCCCTCACATAAACAAACAAACAGATTAATGAATAAATGTAAAATCATAAGGCAGAGCCCAGTGGACTGTTCTGCACTTTGGGGCAGCTCACTCCAAGGGGGGTTTGCTTTGCTTTACTAAACAAACTTCTGCTTAACCTATCTGTGTCTCTCAACTGAATTCTTTCTCTCCAGACAACAAGGACTGGAAGGTCCCCATTTCTCAGATGGACAAAGGGTTGGGTTGTGGCTCCTTGGCACTATTTACTTTTCCATTGATGAACTCTTTTTTTCCAAATGAAAAGAAATTAGCAAACTGTTTGCCCCAGTCATATACAAATTAAAATCAGCAACAAATCCAGTGGACCCATCACTGCTGACCCCCAGCTGTTAGCAATAAAGATAAAAAGGACAGTGGCTGGTTTGTGGTAAGAGCAGCACTACTCAGATAAGCCCCTGCACTCCAAAAGCCAATTCCTAGTAAAACCAACTTGATAGCATTGGGGACTGATCCCTTAACTCCTCCATGGGTGGTGGTAGGGAGCTCTCTGGAGTCAGGAGTGGTGATGAAGAAGGCCCTTTGGGCTGCAGCAGGGCACCCGCAGAGGGATTCCAGCAGGCACTGGAGTCCTGTGTGCTGTGTGCGACCCTGGTGTGTGAAAAACAAACTGCAGTCGTTGAAGGACAGTTACAGCCAGAGTGACCAGGGCTAGAAGGCAGTGTAGAGCTGAGTGCCACTGAAGCAGAGGACCTGTGGGCAAAGCCCACACTGCATCGAATCCCTGCGGCTTGTTTCAGGGCCATCACAAACACCTTCCTTCTCTTTCCATACTAGGGCTTAAATTTTTTTTGAGATAAGGTCTCACTATTTAGCCGAAGATGGCTTCAGACTCATGGAGATATGCTTGCTTCAGCCTCCTGAGTGCTGGCATTGCGAGTGTGCACTACTGAGCACTGTGCCTGGCTTCAGGACACTTTGACTATGTCTGTCTAAGGCTCAACAGTAAAGCATGAAGCAAGCTGATGCTCTTGGACTGCTCCTGGCCTTGTGTGCATCTCTTCAGTTACACCAGGGGCCAAACCTCACCTGTCAGAACTCTTTTCAAAGTCCCATTGTGTGGAAGTGGCCCTCCCACAGTCCAGCAGTCTAGCACTCCCTGAACATGAACACACAGCCATCATAATGGGTCCTCAGCCCAGCACCATTTCTTTTGTCTTTCCAGGAGGGTTCAGATACCTTTGTCTAAAATGTTACCCTACACCTCTCCTGTCCCCACAGACCCAGCAGCACAGATGCAGCCATGCTTGCACACACGTCTGCAGATGCATCCCATGCTCCCTGCATCCCAGTCACCTTGAGCTTCAGAAGGAAGCTCGGCTTTCATCAGGAGGCTGGCTTTAAACCTTAGCCCTTATCATTTTTAATTGCTGGCTCCATGGGTGGAACTGGGGTGGCACACGTTTGCAGAGGTGGCCTGACATTCATGGGGGCAGTAGACGGTGTCTCCCCTAAGCAGAATTGTGCTGTGTCTGCGAACACATCGTTTTATTATTTCCCTTGTTAGGTGAGTTGAGAAAGATCAAACGAGCCAGAGGTGAGCGTGTAGCTGGATCCTTGCCGAGGAACAGATGAGCCTTCACGCCTGCCGTTAAGCTCACAGAACCAGCCATTCTGACTCCATCTCCCCGCTCCTTCAGCCCTCCCTCCCACATTTGCTCAGGGCCTCCCTACCATCCAGCCAGGGTTCTAGGTGTGGGACAGGCAGACTCAGAGCTTGCTCAGTGGATCTTGGTGTGCAGAGGACAACAAATGGACGAGCCAGTGTGTAAACAAAACCCCAGGGGCCAGGACAACAGGGGAGGCTAGAGGGGGCAGTATAGAGGCAGTGTCTGCCCCTCCTCAGTGTCAGAGGAAATGTCCTAAGGTGGGACAGCAGTCAAAGGCCCTGATTCAGCCCCGGGATGAGGACGGAATGAACCTGTGGAGGATCATGGAAGATGCTTAGTTGAGTGTGATGGGTGGGGATGACCTTGTGGATGGGTGATTGTGAGAACTGTTGCTGTTGTTAAGGAACCCACTGGAAATAACACTCTTCCTTAATGAGACTTGAACAGTTAGCCCTGGCAGGGGTCATGCACTGGCGCCCCCTCCTGGCTCAGTTCCCTTCGACCTGCATCTTTGTCTTGAACCTGCTGTGATGTGTGGGCCAGAAACACCCATCATTTGGTGAGGAACTGTGTGCCGCTGGGGACAGGCTCTCTGCCCTGCAGCTTGCTCCAGCTTGCATTCCTGGCTCCCAGGTGAGAGTCCATGCAGAGAGGGGGCTACCTCTTTTTGTGCTGGGATGTTTGAGAGCACTGGGGTGATGATGCCCTGGGAGTACCAAGCCACTGGCCATAGAGCTTCCTCAGAGCAGAGTAGCAGGGGGATTTGGGACATGTGGCTCCACACTCTGATGGATTTTGTTACAAGGGTCTGGTGGGGGTAGAGTTGAGGTTATTGTTGCAGCAGAAGTTGCTTCTCTCGTTCCCAACCTAGCCTGGGAATCCGAAGGGTGTCATCTGGAGCTGCAGGCAGCCTTCTGCATCCTGTGCAGCCGGTCTGATTTGAGAATTCCTTCCCAGGAAGATGGATCTACCCACTCCTTATGAAGCCCCAGTGACAGGCCACAGTATGATTCCACCAAAATGTACTCTGGGGAATCAATGAGTTGGGCTTGCTTACAGAACATGGGTGATGGTTTTTCTGTAGACTGTGGGTGACCTTAAAGGAGCCACACTGGAAAATTTTCACCCAGCGTAGGTGGAGACCCCCACCCCCACCCATTGACCTTCCCCAGTCCATTACTCTAGCACTGTCTGAGACCCCAAGGTCATGTGCAACTAGGTAGAACTGCATGCAGATGAATGGGAAGTGCAGGAGGAATCTGCCAGAATCTCAGGTGAGGGTCATGACCTCCCCACCCTGCCTTCTCTGAGGGAAAATCAACAGACCCCTCTCTTGATGAACTCCTGAGACCAAGCACAGCAGATCTGTTGATGATAGCAGCTAATTTGCACAAA